AAATCGGTTCGACGACGAACGAGTGCTGTTTTCATTATCGAATCACATTTGAAGTGGCACGCGCGCGGTATAGAAACAAATTGAGAACAACGTTACACTCATCGAGCAGCGTGTTGCACCACGTCCTATAGTTCGCGTCACCACATATAGTGTATAAATGTATATACATACATATATATATTTCCATTAACTCGGAAAATACGAGGGATATCGATACACAGTGCAACGGGAGTTTTTTTTAATCGACAGATAGCAAGGATCGTGAATTGGCGTCGAAATTACCGAAATTTCACCGATCGACTTGTACAGCAAAAACAACTAATAGACTAGTTAACGATTAAGGTCTTATGATAAATTTTCGATCACTCAGACTATACTGGATAATACACATTAAAGTGCTCATACTTTATACAATGGCATAATATAATTTTAATGAAATAAATAATACATGCATACGTTGAGAAAAAATATATTAAATTTTAACTAAATGTTTAAATAGTGCCAACTTAACATTTACTTATGATAAATATTTATTAAATAATAACAACAAATAATAGTTAAATCACACGAATCAATAAAATATATATATATATATATATACACACCAAATGATCGAATAATGAAAACGATCAAATTTTTGATAAAAACAAATTATTAAATGCTAATTTACAATGTGCGCCGTCGATTGTTTGACAATAACGGCGAAGTGGTAGGAGCGTAGACTTTGTAGACAAGGTCAAGATAAAGGTCACGAGAAAAGGAAACAACATTCTTCTTGGGCTCATTACGGTATGCAGATTGACGTTGAAATCGGTAACCCTTCCGATCATACGCGCATATCTCACCGATCGTTTCGATGGGAAATGGACAATGCCAGCGGAAAAGATGTCAATGAGGAGAAGGAAGAAGAAGAAGAAGGACGAGAAGGCACACACTCTTGCGTGCAACGATTATCATTTAAATGCGCAGTGCGCTTGCTCTTTGGCGCCCCGAAACGTGCCTCGAAATCGGGTAATTTGAATATTTCACCGATTAAGCTGTGGACGCTATTTTACATAGGTGAGGACGGGGTTATTAACCGCATGCGATCGACCCGCTTTATTTCGACGGTAAATCATCCATGCTGCATTCGTCGTAATGTCATCTAAATAATATCGATCTAATTATATTGGACGTCAGGTCCAGAATGTAAGAATTAATCTAATGTAAGAATCACATAACGATACGATAACGATACGATAACGCCACGAGGAATCGCTTCGGAATTCTCGAGATAGAAATACAGAAAATGAACGATATGACTTAAATGAGGAGTTACTTAATTAACGAAATTAGTAACTCTCGCTAACGTTTTGATCAACTTCCACCTCGACATAAAATCGTACGGTTCGTCGAGAAAGTGGTGGCGACGGGTAAGTGGATGGTGCACCCTCACGAGTTACGCCATTGGTAGCGTTTTCATCTGCGTGAAATTCCCGGCATAGCTCGCGATACGAAGAAGATTCCGCGAAATCCATTCCACGCGTTATTCTTCTTGCCAAGGAAGATCCTTCGGCGACGCGATCGGCAGCGTTTTCTCTTTAAATCAGGTAACGAACGCATCAAAATGCGCCACTGATTACACATAGGTAACAAGCTCCGGTAATAAATTCTTATTGAGCATTCGCGCGTTTGTTTGTAACGTTACCATTCTCGATTCCCGTAATTAGCGGTAAATTAATATTCGCTGTGAGCGCGTATGGACGCGGTAGAATGTTTCGAAAACCCGTTTAACGCCCATAAACATACACGCACCCTTTTACCAAACGGGGGAGGGGGACTATGCTTCGCAAATCGTATCGATCGCGTCGTATTTACCGAATGAGTTTTACGAATTACATCCGTGGCACGTTTGATTTGCACGGCATTTCGATACGTCGATTTTCCCCGCCCACCTATCGATGATACTCGCGTTGCTTCTCATCCTATTCGGTTAAATTTGTACATTGCATATCCGACGTGATGCATAAATAAAGAATTATTTTATCAGTCGTTAAACGGGCGATATTACGCTCGTTTTTTATGCAGCAACGGCGGGTAAATAGTATTGAGTAGTTCGAATTCATAATTAAATCCTAGCTGCACATTAATTCTGGCGTTTGGTGCGATTTTATTTCATCCTTTCGAATATGTATGTACGATTTCGAGGAGAAATTTGTTAATGCGATTGGAACTTCGAGAGTGTACCTGATGTCGACTCGCGCAACAATTCCGACGTGATAAGCGAGCGACACGGTCCGTCTAGATGGGACTTTCGTTCCGACAATGTCATCGATTCGGAGAGTCCGAAAGAGGTTGCGAAAAGAACGTGGGAGTCATGTCAGGGTATGTAAATCGATCGCACGACATCGTGGTTCCTGAAGCAAAACTCGGCTTCCGGACTAAATGACACGTTGACATGTGTAAAAATAAGAGTCCTCGGTAGAGAAGCGCAGAAAGATTGACGATGAGAGCATGAAAAAATCCTCGATTTGAATCTCGCTTACATCGTATTCCCGATCACAGCTCGATATTCAAGAGTGATTTTGTCGAACGTGGAGATTTCAACATCAATATCCGTTTATCTTTCCTCTTTTTTACGATAAAATATCTCGATGTCGAGACGAAACCCATCGATTCGCGATTGACAGCCGCGTGGAGTTCCATGATTCGAAGCACTCCGAGAATGATTAATTATAACCGCGCGCTGATCCCCATTATCGTATCGTGCAGTGAATCTCTGCCAATCGCGGGAATTCTGTACCATACTAACGTCAAGGTAATGTCAATGACGTCGATTATTCTGCCGATTCACGTGAGCGAAATTGCACGTACCGATTCGAATGGAATCGCAAAATCGTAGCAGCGCAGTAGGTAATGAAAAATCCTCAATGAAATTGAACGCGGAAAAGCAGAAGATGTCTATAGATGAGAAGGAGAGAATAATGGATCTGGCTAAAGATGAAAAGGAGGCGTCATTTGCCTCCTCAACGCATTGAGATGCAAATACGCGCCGCCTAACGTGATTTACGAGGAAGGAGCGTGCTTGAGCGAGCAACCAGAAGCGCTTCCGAGTCCAGATCCGTTCAAGCAGATAAGATCTGTCCGAGCAGCCGCCACAATGGACCTAGAGATTTTATTCGCGCGCGGCGTCGTAGAACCATCGTTTCCTCTCGGTCAGCAAGTTTCCTCCGGAATTGACATAAAACGGTCACGGCTGATCCTGCGAGTTTCTATGACCCAATGGAGATTCGCGAATTGCGGTTTGCTCTGAACCTTTTGCAGACTTTGCGAGATTGAACATCATTACGTTTGAATTGGCAGTAAAAATAAGTTTCGAATTAATTACATTAACTTATTAGCTGCAATTAATTCTAGTTGATGAATAACGTAAAAGAGAGCGAGAGCGAGAGAGAGAGAGAGAGAGAGAGAGAGAGAAAGAGAAATCGAGCTCGATTATCATGTCAGCTTCCTTAATGATTGGCTCCCATTGTTTATAGGGAAATACATTCGCGTGGGACATCTTCGTTGACAGTTTTATTCAGAGAACTCCCTCCATAGACAATGTTGCGAATTGAATCGGGATCCTTATGTAATTCAGCACAGCGACGAGCATATTGACGAGCGCAGCGATCCTTTTCATTCGCCCAGGTGAAATCCTTTGTACGAACGAACAGACATACGGGGGCTGCCTCATCGCCGACGCTGGCGTCACGTGCGTATTGTCACGAGCGTAGCCCCGCGACTATCACTATGGAGCGTATTGACGCGGATTGCAGGCGCAGGTTAAATCGAGCAGACGGCGGCGGTGGCGTCGCGACGCCGGCTGTGCGCGGCCGCGCAACCCTTCGCTGTCCACCTCCCCAACTCTCAACGCCATCCAGAAGCGTCGGCGCGGAGGGATGGAGAGACAAAGATATAGAGGGAGAAAGAGAGAGGGAGAGAGACAGAGAGAGAGAGAAAGAGAGGGGAGAAGAGAGAGAGCGGGGATGGTGGACTCTGGCGAGAGGGAAAATTTACAAAGAGGATCGCCGCCGCTACCGCCGCCGCCACTGGGAGAAACGAGACTACTTGTTGCGCGTCGCGGCGCCCCCGTGACGCCGTGGTGCTCCCTTCTACCCCCCGTATCACCGCGTTTCATCGACGACCAACAACGTCGCTACCGCCGCCACCGCCCGCCGTCGTCGCCACCCCTTCGACGTCGCGCCACCACCACTGCCGTCGCCAACGATGCCCCACGATGTCGACAAAAATAGACGCGTCGTCGCGGCGCAACAGATATCACTCGGCTCGAGCTCGAGTAGCTCTCGGTTACTTCGTTTTGATCACCGTGATAACGGCGATTAGGAATGGCCGTCATCCGACCGAAAGAAGTCACTATATCGAAACTTGGAAGCTCGCGATACGGAATCCATTCTAATTGAGAAAGATAAATAATCCGTTAAGTTTTGCACTAGCTCGAGAAAAATTTTATCCGCTTAACTGATGGAGATACACAGTATACTTTATTTACATCCTGATGATTGAAAATCAAAGAGACGGTATGGTTTGAAAAAACTTTTTCAAAGGCTTGTCTACGTAGAAGTCGTACGCGGTTGTGGAGTCTTAAGTCGTAGGAAACTGACCAATCACAGTCAAACATAAGGAGAATACTCGAGTAGAATTGATCAATTTCCTATGATTTGATACCTTACGACCGTCTACGACTTTTATGTAGACGAGCCTTAAAAGACGATGTAGGTACGTTGGTGCGCGCATGTTTTTGCGGTCGTTTATCTACAATATTTTATAATTGCGCAATTAATTTCGAATTAATATAATTAGACTACATGATCCATGATACGAATTTTTTTCTTTCAAATATTGAAATACAAAGTGCTATACCCCGTGCGAAAATAACTTAGAAGTAGAATACATATTTCCCATATAATATTTCGTTTTCGAGAAAATCGATCTCGTGCAGAAAAAGTTACTTCACTTACCTGTATCTGATTACCGATGTGCAGCTGTTGTGCCTGATTGATTTGCAAGGTGGAAGTACCGGGTCCCGAAGGAGGTCTCGGCGGCGTGGAGGTCGTGTTAAAAGGTCCTTGCGAACCGGTCTGGTTAGGTCCACCTCCTTGCGATCCTCTTGGTGGTAACGGATAACCCGGGCTACCGTGATTCGGCATTGAACCCGGACTACCATACGGCGAGTATTGTTGTTTGTAACCGCCGCTAGGCCCCAACATGCCAGGCTTGCCGCCTGTCGCAGTTGGTTGGGGCCTCTTCATATCCGTGAGGCCCGCAGCAAACTGAGTTTGCGAACTGACGAACATATCGTTGGTCTGCTGACTCTGGAAGGTCGGAGTGCCATTGTTCTTGTGATACGAGCCGGTCCCCGCGGCCGTGGCCTGGTTTTGTCCACCGGTTGGGCCGGTGCTACCAGGACTGCCAAGGTAATCGGAAGCGCCGCCGAATTGAGGAAATTCGGCGTAAGGGGATCTCGCCGCTGGGCCTCGTGCCGCGGCGGCTGCCGCTGCTGCCGTGGGGTTGAATCCACCTAGACCCAATTGCTGGCTCTTGTGCTGATGCTGCTCGGCCATCTGCTTGAGCGTCTGCGCCGCCGGACTCATCTCAGATTTGAAGTCTAATCCAGAGTAAGGAAGTCGAGCGGGAGAATATTGCGAAGATCCAAGAGTGCCTGGGCTCGAGTTAGCCGGCATCGTGTTACCGTTGTTACTGCCGACGTTGTTGCTGTTGACGCCGTTGTTCGCGCCATTGGCATGCTGTTGTTGCTGCTGATGAATCGCATCCTTGTCGTCCTCAATCTTGATCTGTCCGTTATTCGTTGGCATACCGTTATTATTGCGGTTGATGCGCCGTCATTGTTCGCCAACGTATCGACGCTCTTATCTTCAAAGTCAAAGTCCTTCATAAACTCCGGATGGAAGTCCGATATTTCGGAAATGAGATCCTTGAATGCGTCCGACGTGATAATCTCGTCGCCAGTATCATCACCCATGAATTCGGAGAAGCCGGGGAAACCAGTGCCGTTCGCCGCGGCATCTTTCTCTAATGCCGCAGCGCATTGTTCCAGATCCACAAACTCATTGTCGGGTTCCTGTTTACATTCGACTAGATTACCAATGTCAACGCAACCGATTCCACCGCTACCGCCAGCGCCACCGGCACCACCACCAGCTCCGGGTCCGCCAGGACCTCCGGGGCCGCTGCCGTTTCCGGGCTGCGGTCTCGAAGCGGCTGACGCAGACGTGTCTGAACCAGGTTTTGGTGACGATGACGCATTTAAAAGATCGCTTTTCACCGATGCATTCGTTAACGCTTTTACCGTTACATTCGTAGAGATTGCTTGGGCTTGTGAATTATTCGCGGCCGAAGTTGTAAATTCCAGTTGCTGTACGATCTGAACTTGAAACTTGGTGAGACCTTCGTTCCCGTCACCGCCACCACCGCCACCGGGTGTTGGACCCGTCGAGTTCGCGCCGTTCCCCGGTTGATGCTGGCCGTGGCCGTGATGAGGTCCACCGCCACCACCACCGCCAGGACCCTGTTGATGCTGATGAGGTCCTTGCGTGCATTGCAGCTTAACCGGCGGCTCGCCGAAGCCGCCATCGCCACTGGCACCACCGGCTGACTCCAACTCCTCGGTCGTCCTCTTGAGGAATTTCGGCTGCTGAAACGAGAAGAGAGAGGGGATCGTTAATCGTTGAATGGACTTTCGAAAAACAGAAAGAAAACAAGAAACGACATAAGATTATAAATCTGTCAGCAATAAAAATATTTAAGAGTTATACTCGCTGTATCATTACCTCTCAATCCTTGCTAACAATTCCTAATTTTATTATTTTATCTATTATACAGTTTCAGCCAGTATAATAGTATTTGACCGCCTTTCGATCAAGCTCGGGTCGGAGTAGGTTTTTAAAGACTACCGCTTTTTCCGCTGCTCTGTTGCTCGATGACCGAACCAAGCGACGCGAGGTATTTAACTCGTCGCTTGGTATCACCGAGCTCGATCCCACAGCTTTTTCTGCGATTAACCCGGGCAGTTTCTCACCGTACCTGTCAATACTCGCGACGCTTTTTCAGCCGCTGTCTTTATACGACCGCCCGCGAAGCGCCGTTTTGTTTCGCGGAGTACCGAACCCTGATACCGCGACTCGTAAATCTCGACGAGCGAATCGTCTACCGGATCAAAAAGGATGACACATGACTCTATGACCGCGATAAACCAAAATAGTCCTCATATATCGAGTGCACATTATTAAGTCTTTCATTTACATTACCATATTACATCTCAACCTCGATTTTAACAATATTTTACATTTAAAATTCATCGTATTTTGTCAGTATCGGATAAAAACAATTTTCATAACTGATGATTATTTGATTATAGAGAATTACTATAGAGATTAATTCTCTAACATTTCATTATAAAAACAATACACTGGTGTGTAATATATTCAACCTAATTTAATTCGATTACTTACAACATTCATAAACATAAACATTGTAAAAAATTCGTTTCAATCAAAATTCAAAACATTGAAGAATATAAGTTCCAAACAAATGTGTCTTTATTAATAAAAAAATTACAAGTATTGGAAAAGCATGCCATAAAGAAGGTATTTAAAGGTTAAAATAATTCTTAATCATGTATATAATCATCATTATAAGATTGATTAGTATAAGTAACAATTGCAGTTAATTAATAAGTTTAATAAGATTAGTTTTCTCTACTGAACGCAGTCAATCAGAAAAGTTGATTATTACTTGCATTAGTAATTACTTAATAATGATTATCAATATTTTAATATTCATCTCAAAATTTCAATTCATATAACGGTTCATACAGTAAATACATATTTTTCGCAAAATTATTAACAAGATTTAACAGATTATATTGGCCTAGTCTGGATAAATTTCGACTATACACAGTGGCAATATCGTAAGTGATTCCTCTGACAAAGTATCTCAAATAATCGAAATACGGCAGAAAACTCGAGGCAATTATCGCCGGATTTTAAAGACGAATCCGCTTAGGAGCCACGAGCTACCTCTCACCGGCGTGGCGGCGGGGATTTTTGCGAGATCTCCAAGTCGACGACCCTGTTTTCGGCCGGGCAAACAAATTCACAGCAGTGGCGTCGGAAGGAGGAAGAGAGAAGGGGGAAGAAGAGATTGGAAAAAGTTTTTCCAGGGTGCGGTCGCGAGAAACGCTTCCACCGATGAATACACATACACGTACGTACGCACGAGCGCACGGTTGCGCGCGCGTCGGTGTGTATCTATACATTTGTCATGATTTGAACCGGGATAACCCTCCCGGTTTCATCCCAAAATCGATAATACGTATTACCCTCTAATAGAGAATCGAGCGCTCTACGCGAGTTTCCCCCTGCGTTCTCCTCCTCGCCTGCGCGCCTCGCCATTCCCGTTCCACCTGGCCCGAGAGCTCGAATAATCTTGCGTCTTCCGCAGATGTAATACGATATTCCGTCAGGCTTCTCTACCCGCAACAGCATCCTCCCGCCAATCGCGGAATCGGCGTACCCGCCGTCGCTGTCGTAAAGGTAAATGACGTTTCTTCGAGGGCCTTGGCAATCGGTCCGTCCTCTTCCATTACGTTTCACGAAATGAAATACATTAGTATTATAGGCCTAAAAAGAAACTCTCCCCATCGCAACCGTCATTGATGGTCCCGACGAAATGACTCTTTTTCAATGTACGATAGAAGAATCTCGCAGGTACGCCGTGAGAGCACCGATCATTTTTGCGTTGCACTTAAAAACTCATTAAAGTGCTCGTAGAGACTATTAATTCAAAGAGTAGATTCATTTAATTTAAGAATAATCATCTAGGGTGATTTTTACTCCAGTAGAACGAGGAAATGAAACTCAGTTATACTAGTTTTCTTTATTGATCAAGAATTTAAACCTTTTTTTATTTCTCCTTGTTTTTTTTTTTTTGAAAATCGTAAAATAGAGTAACTTTGGCTCAAATTTGATAATACAGGCTGTACCTACTCATGTTTTATGTCTTCATTTTGGACATGCATACTGTTCAGGCATTTCTTTAAATGTGGGTCAAAGTTATTTCATTTTACGGCAAGTCCACAACATGATTTCAAATACTAATAAATTATAGCTTAATAATATATTAAAATATTACATGCTGCGCACGTACTGAACTGTAAGATGAGTTTCCATTTACGTTCGATTTCAACACAAATCATCACACCGAGCATTAATCCTTTGCGCCTAATCGTACAACGTTATATGAGAGTACATTGAGGACTCAGTGCAGATTGCAAGCCGCAATGGCGTGGCAAAGCGAAGGAAAAAGGCTTCGGTCGGATAAAACTCTTGCACGGTGCTTTCGCGAGGTAATTTTATAGGACGAAAGGTGTGTGTTGGAGATTGGCGGATAACGACGTGGCTCGCGCCCCAACGTCAATATTGCACTCGCTCTTTCCTGCACCACTCCGTCGCGGCTTGAAGCAAAAAATAAGTAAATGAAAACAAGAAATACTTTAAACTGCGTTTCCAACGTCCTTCTTGTCGAACTAATTACTTTCGCTGAGTTGCGCTATTTGCAGTGGCGCGAAAATACGAGATTCTTTCTTCCTTCTGATCCGACACTGATCAAAAGCAGGGTTGGTAAAAAACATTTTAACCATATTTTAAACAGTTTAAAACATATTTAGTTGATGTTTTTAATATGTTTTAAATATGTTTTTTTTTATAATACTGTTTAAAGCATATTTGAGGCATTAAAAATATATTTAAGAAGAAACAGTACGTTTTATTTAAAAAAAATATTTGTCTTTTTACCAAATTTGATCAAAAGTACGTTTCATCAGCGAATTAAAACACCATCTACATCAAAATGCACGTTAACGATAGTGATAAACAGTACGTTCCTGTTCGTGGATGTATAAAATGGCAAAATCGCGAGAATTTTATGCAGAATGCACACTGGACATTTTTTTACTGCAATGCAAGGAAAGTAAACCATCGATTGCAAAAGAAATTTGTTCATCGATGTACTTAGCGTCGCTATTGATAAAGATATAATCTATGGAACGAAGACACATTTTTTTCATCGGATAAAAGAAAGTTTAATGTTCATTTCCATCAATGTTAATTTTAATCTCAATTTAATTTACTTTATCTTATTTTAATTCTTATAAACAGAATAGGAAAAAGATAAAAAGTAAGGAACCGAGATTAAAGTTATTTCACATTAGTGGAAAAGAAGACATTTAACGTTCACACTCATTTTAAAATTTATGTCTGAATGTGTAACTTATATACACATCTGTAACCTCGACACGTGTCGTTCAGCGTAATATTATTATGCTTCGTTACGATGTATGTTTGTTGATCGACTTAACCTTCACCATCAAGTACGACATAATGTGCGTCTTATCTAGGTAGTTCAATATATCTTATCTGAGCTTGCGCAGAATTAATCGTGCGAGATAAATCGAGCGTCTCTCGCAATTTTGTAAAGTTAATATCGCCGAATAATAGTGAAGTTTCAACCGCAATGATTGTGTACGATGCTTGTTTATATTTGTTCCTTCTTCTGATTCGTTACCCACCAACGAATTTGAGCGCGATCAATTGGTCATTGGGATATTCAGCGATTAGAAATTAATACGCAATCACAGAAATCAGGAAAGTGGCGAGTGGATTGTCGAGAGAGAAAACCAATTCCCTCGGGATAAAAGCACCCACATGCGGCGTCACGGTTGCTCGCGTCGCGATGTGTGTGTTTCGAGGCAAACTGATTTCGTTCGCCCAATCCTTTATCACCTCCCAGCGAAATCGGCTAACGACCAGACTACATCGTTTAAATGTGAGCTGGCCGTGCTCAACCGGGGCCGAGTTATGCCACTTCGTCCGGAAGCAATAATCCGCAGTACGCGCAAATTCGTGCGAAGAGCGAATGTTGCTTGGATATAGAGAACCGTGCACTTGTGCCGTTAGGACTAAACTACCGTATCGCCATCGAGCGGTTTACTTTGCCGCTCCGTAATCCATCGCACTGTTCATTAAACCATCGAGTGCAACGCGATCGGTACGATAAAACCCGATTTTTGGGAGATGTGTAATCGACTGCATAGCTTCAAATTCAAGAAACAAAGGTCTCGTCAAGAGTACGACATGCCATCACGTCCAGATTCTATGCGTCATGTTTGCCTAACATCGTGGGAATGTAGTTACGAATGAATCTGTGGAAAGGGCAACTTGGATATCTCATTAATTCTCACCCACAGATTGTTCCCCGTCAATCTAATAAAATTCTTGCACGGAAAGAATGGTTTTGCTTTAGTATCTAAAAATTTACGTACATTGGAAAAAATCTGGTTGCATTAATAAAAATTCTGGTTAAAAATGAATAAATTAGAATTTTCTAGTTGAATCTATTATAATTCTAGTTGAGAAAACCAGAATTCTGATCGATTTTCAACTAGAAATTTTTCTGAGTATAAGAATCTCAAACGTGACGAGCAATGTTGCAAAAACCTTAACTTTAAACTTTTTGCAGCATTATTCATCCCTTTTGAGATTATTACAGAGAAAAATTCTATTTGAAAATCGATCAGAATTCTGGTTATCTCAACTAGAATTATAATAGATTCAACTAGAAAGTTCTGATTTGTCC